AGCCCATTTTCTTCCTTTGTAGCGAGGGACAAAGATTCACATCCATACAAAAGACAAATAAACTACAATTTCTTTTCATTTAAAATATTTAACCTTTTCGACGGGACGTGGGAAGCCAAAGAACTGTGAATAGAATGGTAATAAGCGGGCTGTGAATCTAATTTACTCTCGGATTTATCATCAGCACCTTCAAATTTGTTACTGTCGTTCCCACGTACGTGTTCCTTGCCACATCAACTTATACACTATACATTAGAGGGCTTAATCAACTTCTTCATAATAGCACTTTCTTCACATTGTCATACTTTGTCTTCTGCTATTACGTAGGGCAATTTCTTACATAACAGATGTAATTGTTATGCTGACGTTACTTGATGCTTGAAGCCTCACGTATTTGTGAAAGTCAGGTGTCTCGCGTGAAAGGGAAATTGAAAGTGAGACCCCTCACACGTAATTCCCGCCTGAGACTATCAAACGAGAAAAAAAAATCACATTTTCGACAACACGTATAACTAACACCTACGAAATGAACTGTTTTCCTTTTTAATTAAATCAGGTTTGCTGCTCACAAAAATGACAACCAAAAACGTGTAATACTCACAGTTTCTGTGTTATTTTCTGTTTATTCTTGTGTGCGAAACGTACATCATTTTTACACAGTTTTTACGTTATTTAAATGAATATATACATGTACTCAGTAATAAACGTCAATCGGTTGCATCATAATTAATAAAAATTAAAAACCTAATAAAAATATAGAAAAACGAAGAAATTGTGTTGTCCAAAGTTCAATAAACAAAACTGAGAAAGGATGGGAATTAGGGGTTTGGAATTAACATATCCGAATTTTCATTTTCCTTATATTTCCATAATATTGCTGGTTAGTGCAAAGTGCATGCATCAGAGATTATGTTGAATACCGTTTGCCGAAATTGAGAGCATAGCGGTAAGTTGGGGAACTCTACATCTGATAACGAATATAAGAACTTTACCACATTCAACAGATTAAAGTAGAAATAAAAAGTAAAAAGTAAAAAAAAGTAAAGCTATCCCTGTACCAGGGCGTGAAGGCCCATAGGGTTGTGAGACGCTGAGGGTCCCACATTATCTAGACAGTCGGCTCAAAAATGGTGGTAGAGAGTATCTCGGAAAATATGTACATAGAATCACAGCGTTTTTAATTACTGCTACGTTAATTTTAAGCATATACCACATTAGTATAATGTAAAATTATATAAAAACATTTAATAAACTTCCCGGGATATCAAGGATTATTTATCATACGTGAGTCGAAGGTGCCCATACTTGGTACGGACAATATCACGGATTATTTTTCAACGGACAGAATTATCGTTTACTATCTTAATATATTATTCTCTTTAACCTATGTATTGAAACGAATTTATTCTAATAAATCGTTAGGATTAAAATCATTATACCCGTAGACACAATATGCTAATCTAATCTAGAGTAGTCTAGTCGAAGCTCGACTTTAAAGTAACAATATAAAAATTTTCTCCACACGGTACTGACATGGAAGAATTTCGTAATTTCTCTGTCTTTTCAAGTAAACGCCTCGAAAATGGCTAAGTTCCCCTTCTTATATTGTTCCGCAATCTCCTTTTTCATGGAATTCTCCCATATAGCGAAGTCGTCCGTTTTGATAAGCCTATTTCATTAATCGCCATCCATTGCGAATCGCTTCCTCTAAACTCAGTATTTCTTTCGCAGTTCAAACTCTCTCCTTCTACGGTCTCCAGTTGATGTCCAGTTCAGTACATGTGTTTCCACTTAGGTTACAGGTCTCTGTTGGATATCCGTACATTAGTAACATTTCGTTCTAAGGCGTAGGTGGGAGGATATTATTAAAATGGATCTTAGAGAGGTAGGATGGGATGGTATTGATTGGATTGATCTGGCTCAAGATAGGGACCAGTGGAGGGCTCTTGTGGACACGATAATGAACCTTCGGGTTCCATAAAATGCTGGGAAGCTCTTGAGTAGCTGCACAATTGGCGGCTTCTCAAGAAGGGCTTTGTTCCATGAGTGAGTGAGTAACATTTCATTTTCTTTCATCTGCACCTTACTCATACTTCCTTCATTTTTGTTCCTTTTTCGTCGTGCTCCCGGTTTTTTTTTAATATTTCCCTTCTTTCATATTTTCTTCCCTTCCATTTTTTCTGCTTCTGCATATTTGCCGACGGTGGTCCAGAAGCACATGGAGGAATTTTAGAAGAACCCGTTCTCAAATATCACAATATTGTATTTTCAAACCACTGGGCAAAATTGACACGATTTTAGTGATTATAGACGGGTTTGTATCGGTAATCTTGTTTGTTGTAGTTGTACAACTCGTAACTACAAATAAGAATTATGCTCTCACTGGTCTGCACACTTCACAAATCAGTATAAGACACACTAGGACTTCTCAGCCTGTTACAGTCTTCACTAGCCGTTACTTGGTAACGTCTTTCAACGGCGGACTTTCCCCTTCCTCTGAGTTCCCGAACTGTTCCCATCCTCAGCTTTTATCTCCTAACAGCTTATAACGACTGAAAAGCAACCGTTCTCTAACTGGAACCGCTAATCGGTCCCGGTTATATCACCTTGGCTTACACCATCGCATAGAAAACATGTCTTCCACTATTGCTCTTTTCTCATTGCCTAGGAGCCGTTACTCAGCAATGGCTTATGTACAGTTGCTTGTTTTGCGGTCGTTGACTAGCAACGAGTCTACATACCACAATATTTTCATTCACTTTTATCGTTTCTCTTTCATCATGAATGCAATTTTTTCTTCATTTCTGTTTTTACCTTCTTTCTTTCCGCTTCTTTTTATTCTTTTCTTTATGTTCTGCCGACGGCAGCTCAAAAGCACGCAAGGGACTGAAAAAGAAAGGTCCCAGTGATAATCCTCCACCAGAGTGGTAAGAAGAAAGAACTACTACACTTCCGCTCCAGTAGTGTGTGTAAGAAATCCATTGGTACAAGTTTCTGCGGATGAGACTAGCTTCCTGGCTGTACAGCAGGGAAACCAAACTCAGACAAACGAGTCAGATGCGGCCAGTGAAGATATCCATTCCTGAAGTCTATATTATCGGACTTCTTATTAACTTACACTTCCTTATGGATTAGTAGCCTATAGAGAATGCAAACGATTTTGTGAGCGAAAGAAAATTGAAATGTTTATGAAAAATGCCTATGTTTAAGTAATAGTATTGAATGCTCAGACTTACTACACCTACAGCTGGACACGAGAAAGTCGTCGTACTTATTCCAGATTAAGTTTAATTCATTAACTACGAGTATTAATTGCTATTTTGTTCATTTTACATTTCTGTATATTATGTTCAATGAGCAGGAATACCCGATAACTATGCACATTTTTCTTTAAGTACTTAAGCGTTGTTGCGAGTCCCTCACTTCTAAACACAGTAGCCAGTTACCGAATAAAGTAACTTCCCATTCTTGGCCGACATGTCCACGTGCCCTCCCGTCCACTCCAGGGTTATTGAACGTAAATATTTTGTGCATTTCTCGTCCCTGTTGCTTGTGATACATCTTCACTCCTTCTCACCACTGTCTGTTTGATCACCTTAACAGCATGTTGTACCCAATGATAGATGTCGCATGGAATATTTACGGAAATGACTAAAAGAAATGGTAAGAGCAGTGATATATACCTTGCGGCCGACCTCACCCCCATCTGTGAGCGAGTACCTAGGAATTGTGGGAGTCTCGACGTCTCACAACCCTCCACAGCCTGTTACAAGAGTACCTTTTCTTTTACCTTTTTTTTTTCTTGGCACTACAGCCCCAGTGGGCCTAGGCCTACCTCCATGAACTTCTCCGTTCACTTCAGTTTTTCTAGCTCTTACACATTCGGTAGGACTCCTTGGGCGGGTGATCAGCTCGTCGCAAGGGCTGTACCTGTACACAATCACAGAAAAACGCACACACACATCCATGCCCTGAATGGGATTCGAACCCACGATCCCGGCTTCCGAGCGAGCGAAGACTGTGCATGCCTTAGACCGCTCGGCTACCGTGACCGGCTTTCTTTTACCTTACCTACTTGTAATTTGCTCGTTATAGGTAAAGAACGGTTTATGAAAACTGAGAGTGAAAAGATTGACGCCGGAAGGGTGTAATAAGAAGAACGGATCTCTGGCGCAATGTAAGTGAGAGCTCTTATACACACAAGGAGTAATAATGTTTGATGAAGAGTACAAACGAAGCTCCTCGTTATACTGTTTCCTCCAGCCCTTGTTGTTTCCTTTCTCTTAAAGTAAAAATAAAAAGTAAAAGTAAAGGTATCCCTGTAACAGGCCGTGAAGGCCCATAGGGTTGTCAGACGTTGAGGGTCCCACATTATCTAGACAATCGGCTCAAAGATGTCGGTAAGTTTGTCAGCCTTACGCGCCGGCCGCAATGTACTCCCCAGGAAAGTTATATAATTAATTCCTGGTACTCATTTCTGTTAGAGGCTGAGTCGACCCCAGGGCCATAGTGTGGCAGGAAGGATTAGGTCAATTGAAAAAAAATCCAGTGACCTCATCGGGACTTGAACCCGCGACCTTCAGGCTCTTAGGTTAAAATATTTTTCTCTTTTGTTGATATAAATTATGATAAACTGTAATAAACGCTCGGTACATAGAAATGTATTGCAGTGAACATGACCTGATTTCACGAAAAGACCGTGAAAAGCAAAAAAGAAGGGTCCAACAATGTTAAAATGGGAATGAATCAGTGATTAGTGTGTTTGCGTTTTAAGAGAAAATTAACTGCGCATATCGAAAAAGTTCTCTTTCTTTCTCCTTTCAGATTTGTTGACAACGTAGCTTGTTAACTGAACTGTCGAAAGGAAAGTCTTGGTGTACTTTTGTTTAGAATTATTAAGGAATCACAGCTTACTGCAAAGTACCAGCTAAAACACTTCTGTTGAACTCTGTCATACTGATTCGATCCATGGTAACGGAATTAAATCTTTTATTTCACAGGACCTGCACCGGACAGGCTGCTCGTTGTTTTGCGGGGCGGCCGCTGAAGAGAACCAGGCGCTACTCAAGCGGGTGCTTCTGGCTTACGCGCGCTGGAATAAAGCAGTTGGCTACTGTCAGGGTTTCAACATGCTGGCAGCTCTCATCCTGCAAGTAATGGATCGCTCCGAGACCGACTCTGTCAAGGCAAGTGAGCAAATCACTCCTTACCAAACGTGGATATCAAACGTTTATGTTTGTATTATCTAGTTTCAGAGCCAGGATAGCTCAGCTGGTATAGCGACGGGCCAAGGGCCGGATGGCCTAGATCTCGTGTTTCGAGTTCAGGCTGAGGCAATATACACGTATTACTTTTTCCCAGCGTCCAGACTGGGCCTGAGGTCCACCCAGCCTCCTATACATTGGGAGCCGTGGGGCTTTTCCCTAAGGGTAAAGCGGAAAGCGAGTGAAGTTGTGCACTCACATCCCACTAGTACCGAGGTCAGGAAGTGCGGAGCTGTACCTCCACTCCCCGACACGTATTCGTGGTGTGGTGCTTAATTAACTGAACGCAGGAACAACTTTACGTTTATCGTTTCTTTTTACTCCCCCAGCGTCATTTGGTTTCACTTATCCGGTTCCTTTTCTTCATTTGTGCACATACAGAAGGAAGTCAGTAAATTCCGCGTCAGGAAACCGCCATTTGCCTAGGGCAGAGCCTTAATGGCGCCCGAAATTATTTCCGTAGCTTGTTGATTGTTATTGAAGGGAGTCCTTCTGTGCGATTTTTATTGCTGTAACATCCGCTGAGAATTGAACGGAAAATTACACTATTGGTTGCGTATTATTTCGTTCTATTAATTTCAACTCCTTTCTTCCATACTCATTTCCAATCCTATATGTTATCAAATGATGGGTCGAGGAAGTTCGACACCATTTCCCGTAAATAGCATTCGCAGGTGGTCTCCTTTATGTACACGTAGTATACTATACACTTCATACCCGTATAAATACTAACAGACTGGCATAATACACTACTCGCTCGTGCGTAGCCTACTTCGTAACCTGTTTTCATGCAACATGTTGACGTCTAACAAATAGTGCCTATGGTAAACTAAAATTGCGTAATATCTAATAAATTTCAGGGACACGCGGTAGCGTAGTTGGTTGAGGCACTATGCTTTAAGCCGGAAGGTCACGGGATCGAATCCCGAGGAGGTCATTCGATTTTTTTTTTCAATTTACCTCATCCTTCCAGCCGCACTATGACCCTATGGTCGACTCAGCCTCTAACAGAGATGAGTATTAGAAATATTCTTGGAGGTAAAGGGCGGCCGGCGCGTAAGGCTGACAACCTTAGCGCCATCTATGAGCCGACTGTCTAGAAGATGTGGGAACCTCAACATCTCACAAACCTATGGGCTTCCAAGGCCTGTTACAGGGATACCTTTTTTTTTTTTCCTGTGGCGCTACAGCCCCAATTTGGGCCTAGGCCTACCTCCATGAAACTTTCCGTTTCACTTCGGTTTACTAGATCTTACACATACGGTAGGACTCCTTGGGGGAGTGATCAGCTCGTGGCAAGGCCTCCACCTGTAGACAAACACAGAAAAACGCACACAAACATCCATGCCTTGAGTGGGATTCGAACCCACGATCTCGGTTTCCGAGCGAGCGAGGACAGTGCATGCCTTAGACCGCTCGGCTACCGTGACCAGGGACACATTTACTTTTACTAATAAATTCCATGCTTAGAAATATTATATGTAATATAGTAATACACTATTTCTATTTGTGTATGTATGTATGTATGTATGTATATACATATAAGGAGGACGGTAGAGGGATAGAAGGAAGAATGGAGTCACCACTCGACTCTGGAGCCAGGACAGGCGGAATGGCGTAAGCGCTGTTGTATAGATGACAGAGTTTTTGTATTTAACAATGGAAGAGCAACCCCTGCTTTGATGAGTGTTAACAGCGGTCGTTCTCTCCCCAACCCCTGATATCCCACAAGGTTTCGGTCTTGGTAACCTTGGTTTTTCGGGAATGTAACCGCCGCGGTTGGTGCGGGATTGCCTTATTCCCTTAGGAAGGTTACCCACACAATATTTCGTCTGCTGGAAACTGAATTTGTATTGCTTGTCCGCTACAGTTAGAAACTCTGTTACATGCGTCACAGGGGTGAGTAAGTGACTGCTAAGATCAGGAGTGCCAAATCTTTCCGCTAATTGGTACCAGAGATGTACAATATTCACTTCTAATGTGTTGGTCCAGTTCCTCTCTGTAGACCTAAATGAGACATCTGCTACTGTATATTGCTAAGCAGTTTTCAATGAAGAATTCTGCTTCCTGGGTTATAACGCTGTATAGCCAAGTGATAGGAAAGTAGAGCTTTGCTTGCTGTCTACTGCATGCTGGTTTCTTGCTTATCTTACTCTTCGAAACGTAGGTTGTAATTTACCGAACTACACGACGTTATAACTTCTGAAATAAAGTGACTTATAGTTACCACAGCAAGAACTTGAAATCCAACACATTTCTTTATATTTTACTTTCTACATTACTTTTTTAAGCCATGAAGATGGATTAATTTCGTTTGTGAAATGACTTCTTATTTCCGTCTGTGATTTTCCGAAATAGCGTAACTAAATTATGGACAAGAAAAATATATAAATTGGATAGTCAACACAACAAATTACTGAAACTGAGAAGAACTAGGTAATATAATATGATATAATATTTTTTTTTAATTCGCTTAGTGGGTGCTGGAGTCCAACTGGGTCCACTCGGCACGGCGTCCACTGATTGGCCTATTGTAGCCTGCCCCGGGTGATTATGATGATGGAGAATTTGGTGGAATGAAGATTGGCATGGGAAACCGAAGTACTCGGAGAAAACCCGCCCCAGCGCCACTTTGGGCACCACAAATCCCACTTCACCAGACCCGGGATCGAACCCGGGCCGCCGCGGTAGGAAACCAGCGACTAACCGCTTGAGCTATGGCGCGGCCAATATGATATAATATCCAATTTGTTCCATTTATATGTTTTTTTAATGACAAGCAACGGGATGCATACTATGAAAGCCATAAATTATGGACGAGTGACTACTTTGCAATTCGTGTTTCAATATCTAATGCTTCTTAAAAATCTTAGCGTAAGACACGATTCCTTTATCATAAAGCACAAAACAGCAACACTGATAATACCAACTGGGATTATAAACGGGAGAAAACGTGGACCATGAAGGTTTCAAACTCTCGTCCAAATGTTCTAGGCAAGAACTCTAAGTAGATTCGCATACTTTTACAGTTCGCCGGGTCGTTATTCGAAGCATCTCTAGAAGTTGCTAACCGCCATACCAGCCAACATCCATTGTGCAAATCTGCTCAATGTCTCTGTAATGTTTAGTACTGCTGCACCGTAGTGTGGAAGCCTCGCGTTAGAACCTCAATTTCTGCTGGCATATTACTAGAAATAAAAAGCAAAATCCTTTTCTTTGAAATAAACGGAAAGAATTCTCTTGTCACCAGAAGACTAGGCTTGAGAATGAATGGAGAAAGCCATTTCACATGATTATTTCAATAGGATTATCACAGTGGTACAAATTCTTGCCATCTGCTCTCAATAAGTCTGATGTTTCATAATCTCGGAGAGAACATTAATTATTAAATAACAAGACAGCCATCAAGTGTAGCAAACTGTTGCTAAAATGTTGGATAAGTAAAACTACTTCATATGTTTCGATCCTTTCAGACTTCAGGGATGTTCTGAGTACAAGGAAAAACTATGGCATATGTTGTAGTTGCTTGGCTTGCAACCTGTTTTCACGCTGGTTTCTTACTTGGTTTATTCCTCAAAGCTGAAAATGGAGCTAATATTTCTCTTCGAAACGTCGGTTCACTTTCAGCGAACTACAACAGCGTTATATCCCAGAAGACAGAACACTTCATACCTTAATAAACTGTTTTACGCGTGCTTCAAATGAAGGGTTGAGGAGTACTTTGTCTTGCGATGTCCTGGTGATGACGGTGGCTTATGTCAGAAGAAGTGTATATAATATAATTTTAAAAGCTTTTATATATAATTGACCGCCTCTGTGGTCTAGTGGTCAGATTTCCTGGCTACAGATGCAGAGGTCCAGGGTTCGATTCAAGGCGCTACCAGATTTTCTGAGAAGTAGTGGGCCTGGAACGGGGTCCACTCAGCCTCTTGAAGATAACCTAGAAGCTCTTTGAAGGAAATAGCGGCTTCGGTCTGTAAAACCGAGATTAACGGCCGTGGGGATCCGTTGCGCTGATCGTGTGACACCCTCTATCTGCTAAAGATGGCACTAACTTCGCCGAAAAGCGGCGGTCGCTCGGTCGGTATAATTCACTTGCGGGCTACAGGCCATGGAGTTTGTTGTTGTTTGTTCTATATAATTATAATGTACACGTAAGCAGCCATCTGTTGTTACAACAGGCTCCGAAGATTGTCGTGGAAGGCAGAAACACGTAAGACGAATTTATTGACTGTTTTCTTGTTGTTTAACGACTAATATAAAGAGTAACTTTCGAGGTATCTCACTAAAACATCCGTGAGAATGTACTTCTGTAGCCGTTTCTCTTATGCGTCCAGCTGTACATATGTAGATAATAAGCGCTCTTTATTTCATCATAAAACGTGTTCTGAACACAACTCGTCAGAGAAATGTTTAATGTAATATAGTACTAACCTTCATTTGCTTACGACGCGTATATTCTCTCTCTCTCTCTCTCTCTTGATAGAATTCTGGGTGCCGTAATACTCAGTGACTAGGCATACGTATCTATCGCGGAAGCTAATTCTAACATAGAGCGACAACTCGATTTAACGCCACTCATAATACCGATGTAAAGACAGTGGCAATAAGACATAACAGGGTTTAGAAACGTTCCAGCAGCATTTCAATACAGCGGCCTAGTTCGGAGATGAAAGCGATGATAAGATGTTCCTCACACACACACACAATTTCTTCTTTCTGCTCATGCAAGCGTTGTTCTCCTCTTTATGTTGGCGCTGTAGGAGATTGCATTGCAAGACAAGTCTGTGTGTACAATTGTACATTGAGGATACAGGAAAAAAATCCCAAAGGAATGTGGAGGTGACCTCCATTTCTGCCTATTTGGGTGCTTCCCTCCAGCACCAAGCGCTTGTCGCTCGTGGAAGTTTCCGTTGTCAGAA